GCTAATGATGTTACTTGTGGTGTTGATGAAAGTACATTACACGTTATTGATACAACTATTGGCACAAATGACTGTACATTTTCTGTTAATGAACAGCAAAAGGTGTAGTACTACGCGGTAATAAAGCTTGTAGCTATGGCCGTAAAATACTTTTCGATGAGTTTCGAATCTCTTTACTAACCGACTCGGTTTGATTCCACTTCACTGGTTTGGATATTCAAAAAAACTAAATTTGAAGAAAATAATCAAAAATGGAGAGATCGAGAACTTCGCCGAAACGGTTAGCGAAAAACAAATAACCATATAAACATGAAACAGTTGTAAACGAATTTATGTCACTTATTTGGCCATGTTCAGTTCCTGAAATAAATATATTTATTTCGTCATACAGGACGAGTCTTAGGCCCTGGCTAAACGAGGAAACATGTTTCCTTGTGTAAATGTTTTCAAAGGTGGCAAAAACCATCAGATAGAGCGAGCGTTGCTAACGCTTAACGAACTTTTAGAATGTTGACTTTCGTGGCTAAACGAACAGCCATTCTCAATCACACGCGCCCTCTAGCGCCGGATTGTTTCTGTCGCGACAAAGGTTCTGATGGACGTCAAGCACAAGGCGTTTGTATACAAAAAGAACAGACACACAATACACAAGAGATGATTTCAAATAATAAGGTCATGATATCTAGCATGGTACTTGAACATGGAAGAAGAGTCTAGAGCGTGGCCAAACGCAGTGGCGATCATGACCTCAAAGTCACTTTTAGGCGGATTAAGACTAAAGCCAGGAATCTGTGTGGCATTAACTTCCAGGTCTCTAGCCATGACACCAAAGTATGCATCATCTGTGGTTAATGGTCGTTTGACTGACTGGGTGTAGTTAAAACAACGAGGAAGTATAGCGGTAGAGACAACTTGAAATGCCCCGTGCGAAAAGGGTGGCCATCTTGTCTCATTGAAGTCTTCCTTAGAAACAAACCAAGGGGATTTTGGATCGCGAACTACTAATAAATTCTCGCTAAGAAACCCCCCATAAAAAGGGTTTGGGAAGCCTTGTTTTTCGAGCCATTTTGACAACCTTGAGACTCTAACATAAACATCATCATCGGTTTTCATAACATACATACAATCAAATTGAGAATACACCCAGAAATGCGACATAAATGTTTTGATAACAATGTTCTTGTAAGTATCTGAAAAGTTTCCTATGATTATATCATTGTACTGTAAAGCTTCTTGTACGTTCTTTAGATTCATAGCGTAACTGCTGGACATTCCCAAAGCGAAATAGATCCTCCATTTCTGATTCCCTTTTCCTTGTGTTAAATTTCCCCAAGTCTTTCTGATAGACATTCGTAGAATCCTATGTCTGTCGTCGGTTGCCGAGTTGACTACAACAACCATAAAAAGCTTTCTTTCTTCACAAGAAATATTCGGTTCGACACGAGGCATGATCAAGGAGAAATTTGTCCACCCAACAGTGCTGAAGTCGGTGACTGCTTGTCGCGATTGATCGTTTAAACAGTCCTTGGAGCTTCCTGGCGATGTTGAAATTTTATTACTTGGTGTTGAACCTGAACCAAATTCACAACTGCAATTCCACTTTAAGTCTATGAAACGACTTTTATTACCCCGCAGTTTTAAGGAAAAGACGTTTTGAGGAATCTCTGGCGAAACTACACTCAGGTAGAAAGCACTTAAAGAAATAAGAGAGACTAGAAAAATGACCACTTTGTAGACGGTCCTGATTCTTCTCGACAGAAAAAGGCAACCAAATCTTCGTCGGATGTAGTAATAGCTCATTGTAAGCAATGGGAGTATTGCAACTTATTAACTCTCTTAACACTCTCCCTTGCAAATTTGTACGCATATATACCCGCAGATACTGACTTGCATTATGACAGAAATGGTACATATAAACGAACACTCACTGAAAGCCGTCCTTTGATTGGCGGTTTTTTGGACACAACTAGCCGACTAGTTTTTTGACCTTTTTTAAATTTTTAAATAGCAATCTACGCAGCTCTCATCGTAGAAACAAAGGGATCGAGCGTTTTTAGGCTCAAACCAGTCACCACAAACGATGCCGGGAAGTCTTTTAAGATTAAAAAATACCTTATCATGTAACTATATATGTAGAGTTTCTCGAGCTGTGATTGGTCGAGTAACCGATTCTGAGACGATAATCACCGCTGGAGCAGTAATAATCACAGGGAGCCCGGCTATATATTTTTTGCTTCTTTTAGAAAAGTAACTTTGCTCTTTGTGGGTTTCCTGTGTTGTGATCGGTTTCCTATAGGTCTGCGCTGTAATCAGATCGGCGCAGTAAGAAGAAGCAAAAAACTATATAGCCGGGTTCCCTGTGCGTGTGATAATGAGGTTTTCCAAATTTTTCCATATGGGAAGTAATACTGAAACGTTTTTTATGATTTTCGATTTTTTTCTGATATTCAAGTCTAAAATTATACTAAAACAATTATTCCCCTCAGGCTCATTTACCTCGCCGCTCTTCGGTAAATATTCAACCGATATTCACTTCGCCTTCGGCGAATAATTGTTAATTATCATCAACAAAAACATAAATAAATGGCTAGGACGTTGGCTAGTTGATTGTCATAGGACAAAATGTTGGCCAAGTTTGATTATTGTAGATCATCAGAGAAAACAGATTATCAAGCACGAAACTTAAGTAGGAATCAATTAATCAATTAAGAAAAGTAGGTCTATTTGCTCTGAGTGTTATTTCTAGGATTACATGAATAGGCTCGACATTTTGGTTCCACATGTCGCAAGGGAGAACAGAAACGCGTGTCAAAGTTAAACAGAATCAATTGATCGGTAAGCAAGAAACGTGTTCTCGGAACCAAAATGTCAGTCCTTTTGACATCTCTAAAGCTTTTGTTCTCTGATAGTACTGCATAATCGGGTGTGTCAACAATCTATTGACGCCCCAACTTTAGTCTCAATAATCTCCTTCATTTTTGTTTCAAACTTGAATCACCTTTAAGTGGTAATTAGTTAAGTTAAGTGTATAGCGACTACTGTATGATCTATGCGATTTAGAGTTGAGTAAATCATAGGAATTTGGGTTAGTTCAAATTCCTCCTCGGGAATTGGGAACTAGCTCATTAACTCCTCTGAGTCGCATTGACCAATCACAGGTAGCGTCAGGTCATTATCGGCTTGACGTCACTTTCTATAGACCACAAATAATACTTAAGTGCTTGAGGCACACACTAAGAGCCAGAAGAGATAGCGAGGAAGAGTAGAACACAGACCAATAGTCAGAAGTGTACAGACCAATAGTTAGACGAGTGAAGAAGACAACCAAGCGAATAAAAGACCAGAAAATCCATAAAGGTCTGCATGTGTGTACGTGGGACGAGCTAGTCCGCCCCATCCCAACCATCGGGAAAAACATCCCACGTCACATGCCAATTTTGGTCCCTTTGCATGTTGGCTATAATAGACCTCCTCGGCTCTGACGTAATGTTTTCCCATTTCAGACCACGTGTACAGACCACTTTGGGGGTAACCAATCAAAAAACTGTCCCAAATTGAAAGGTTTCTTAATTGAATTTATACTATATCTGCTTTTATCTGTACAAAACTGATTATCAGTTTATTCCAAGTTATTTTTGCGTCTACGAAATCATCAAAAGTTTTGGTCTTACAGAAAATGTATTAACTTACGAAAAAATGTTTAAAATTTACCTTAAACGTTTTCAAGTTTCTATCTTTTTCAGTTTTATACTACTTCATTTTATTTTTGGATACCAAACAAGGTATTGTCAATATTGTCTGATCAGCCTTCAGCAAAATAACCGGGGTTTTATCCTCTGGTTACCCCCCAAAGACGCAAAGTAGGGATGTGAAAGTAGAGAATATAGTGTTTTTCTCTAGCTTAGAGTGCAAACAATTAATCCGTGAAACACTAATTACTATATAGTACGAAATAGTGCTAGTTAAACAAAAGAAAACAATGTAATTTGCATGTAATTGTGCTATTTAGTATTACTAAAGTTTCACGGTTATATTGTTTGCACTCTAGTAGTCCGTTTTTAACGTAGTTTAAGCGTAGAAACGAGTTATCGTGAGGGGTCTGAATATGACTTATGTTGATGGTGTTACTCCTAGTCCAAGGGAATAATGCTATTCAACCATGAAGTTGTTTAAAACTTGATTTATTTAACATTAATATTTAAATGATGCTAACATTACGCGCAGCCCATCCAGTCAGAATTTAGGAACACTGACCATTGTCACCTAGGCACAATCGCGTTAGGTGAGCCCACGTTCCTTTTGGTTTGTTGTAGATAAACGAAAGACTCTTATGTGATACATCTCATTGTTCTATTAGCCAATCAGAAAACAGTAACTGTTGAATTTACCCAGTCTTTCGTCTCTTGTCAGCGACGAAAAGGAACGTGGGCTGTGGGAAGGAGAATCAGTTTTTTTACAAAACTCTGTGCCTAAACTCTACAGCTAAAGACCATCGGAAGGCTCAAGTGTGCACTGTTATCAATATTACAAAATAGACCTTTTTATTCGTGGAATACCGCTGTCTCTTGACTACATACTCTGGGTTAGCCTCATTTCCGTGCAAGTTATTCACAAAAATCAATAATATATTTTGAATTTCCACAAACACAGAACAGAGGTTAACCCATGAGCAAAATAAAAACTCAAAACTGGAGTACATTTTTTGTTTCCTACAGTATTACTAACAAAAATGTCAAAAATATGCTTTAAGCTTTAGTGCTGAATGCAAACGCAACTTTTGAGAAAAAAAGCACGATTTTTTTTTCTTTTTCTACGTTAATTGATTATTGTATTTTTGGAAAAATATTATTTTCGTCTCCATGGTTACCGTGATGCTAACATGCGACCTAATTTCGTTATATTCTTTCTGCTACGCTCAGCCGGATTTTTAGGCATTGCTTGGAATCAATTGGATGAATACATTGCATGCATCTACTCATTATCAATATCTAATTAATGCAACAACCACCTTCATCTGATAAAAACCGCGCGCAAGACCATAAATGACGTCAATTGATGCCAAGCAATTGCCACGAAAGTATCTTGCAACTGATTTCTCTCTTTTTTTTTCATTTTGAAGATGCAAGCATTGAAATATTTCACTCGTATACATGTTTCCTATAACTGGTAATTTTCAAATAATTAAGCGTATAACGCTTCATAATGACGCCTGATGTTCACGAAAAAATGAAAGGAATTTATACAAAGTCCGTCCAACTAGTAAAGGTATCCTAGGCCAAGAAAGCAGAGGATTCCCTTCATCATAGCAAGGTGTTATCACTGTGTGTCGATAGTGGTCGTTCTTTTTTCGTCTCATTATCACTTTCTGAGCTGACGGACAAAGAATCCTTGTGCAACGGATCAGATTCGCCGTCTTCAAGAGGATGGCTCTTTACCTCTTCTGCCAAACTCACTGTAGTCTTCTCCGTCGTTTTCGTTATCTTTGGGCTTTCGGCCTTCGTTAACTTCTCGTCCATTTGATCGTCGTGTTTTTCATTTTCTAACTTGTCCTCTGTGGTGAAGGGAATGACTTTTTCATTGCTGGTTTCTTTTGAAGATCCTTTTCTGGACGGCAGGTGAAATGGAGAAACACTAGAGAACAAAATGGCGCATAAATGGCCGGGAATGTAAATGAATGAGCTGGAAGCTGCAGCAGGCACAGGGATGGCAGGGGCTGACCGGCACAGGGGTAGAGGATGGCAGTGGCTGACAGGGGCTGACAGGGACAGGGGTAGAGGATGACAGGGGCTGACAGGGACAGGGGTAGAGGATGGCAGGGGCTGACAGGGACAGGGGTAATGAAGGTACCAAGTATAGGGCTAGGGACAGGTTACCGTAACTGAGTGTTGTGATTTGATGGCATATCATAACTTGTAAGCACTGTAGCTATACTCTAAAACTGTCTTACCTCGTATGGCGTGATTCAGACACCTTTTCTTCTTCCTTATTTTCTTTCTTTTCATCTTTTATATCACCATTCCTTTCAGTTTCTACCACATCTTTCGATTTCTCTTCCTCCGTCTCTTCCTTTTTCTCGACATTAACTTTCTCGTCTGTCTTTCGATCACTATCAAAGCTATACGTTCTCGGAATAGAGCGGTTTGTACTTAAGGCACTAGGTGACCAAGGCTTGGGTAGCGTTGCTGCACGAGTCAAGGGTGACATTGGAGCGTGGTCTGTTGGGGTCCTTGGGGTCTTTTCAGTGGGTGTCTTGGATGTTTTATCTGCGTCAAGTGGTGGTGGAGATGCTGGACGGTTTGATTTAGGACTTCGTTTGGGACTTGGAGCGTCACGTTTAACCCATAAATCTGCATCTGCAGCATCTAAAGTATTATTAAATAATAAGAAAGGGTTATCCAAACACGCTGGGAGCTGTAGAACACGAGAGAAGCAAGCTTAAGAATACGCGGAGCCGTAGCCGAGTGTTTCTCTTGCTTTTCAAGACAGGTTTAAACCGCGAGGGAACCCGCGTCAAACGTTTTACAATACATTTGGTGCAAAACGGTTCGTTTTGTTATGTCAACCAACAAAAGGTATGCACGCACCCCATACCGACTCCCTGGCTGTAAAGGCGGGTTCACACAAGCAATGCAAATGCAAATACAAGCAGAAAATTACGTGTGAATTACAGCAACTCAAACGCAAGAATGAAAACTTTTAATTTTCTTGGGCTTGCGCTCGGGTCTGTGGTTTTAACGTTTCAAACATGTGTTTACTAACACAAGACAAAACATGTTCTTGATGTAAACAGCACTACTGCGCTTTGGTATCTTAATGGACCCTTCTCAAAAGTATCGTGGACGCGAGGTTAACATGGAAATACGAAAGAAATCACACTTTTTCGCGGTGGAATTTATGGCATTGCTTTTGTATTTTCATGTTAACCTCGCGTCCACGATACTTTTGAGAAGGGTCCATTAAGATACCAAAGCGCAGTAGTAAATAAAGGTACATCTGCCTGCAATTACGTGTCAGGTGTGAACCAGGGTTAACTCGTTACGTTGTCTTCCTCACCTGGCTTGACCTTTAGCTTAAGTTTCTCTTCTTTAGCTTCTGTTTTTTCTTCACGTTTTCCTGCGTCTACGCTCTCCTCTGGCGCAGCTTTCGCGGGCTCCTCCTTTTTGGATTCCTCTTTCTTTTTCTCATCTTCTGTTTTCTCTTTCTTTTCCGTTTCTTCCTGTTTTTCTCTAGGTTTGACTTGTGGTTTTGGTGGTGTTACCTCTGGCCTTTTTATATAGGACGGTCTCACCAGTCCCTCCTTGTTAATTTTCCCCGGTTCACGTTCGGCCGTGGGGACCCTGGGACGAGGGACGGGCGCCAAATCTTCGTTTGACGTCTTACGCGTAATTCGTGGTTCTGAACCCTGAGGAAATAATTTGGATAGTTTTGATGTACTGACCCTTGCAGTGATTCTCATTAGGGCTTAATTTGGAAGACAACACAACAAAATTTTAATTAATTGAAGTGAAAAAAAAAAAAACAAACCCGGAATCCTTTCTATTTCCTCCAAATTGAGCTGTACTGAATTAGCCTTTTGGAGGATGAGGGAAAAACTGGGCCGAGTTGACATTGCAATGCATCTTGGGGCTGTTTTAGGGCACATATTTCCAAGATGGCGTCTATTTCGTCCCCTAAAACAGTCCCACAATGAACTGCAATGCCAACTCGACCCAGTGTGGCTAATGGGATCCACGAGAGATTTGATTGGCCACCACAATTGAAAATGTGTATACGGTGTATACCTTTTCCGCAGAAGGCCGTCTGGCCGGTTTTGGTACCGTTTCTGGAGGAACCTGAGTATAAAAGAAAAACATAATCAGAAATAATTCGGGGGAAAAAGGTAAAAAAATATTATAACCATCAACAGAAATCACTAGATGAAGAAACACTCAATGTTGTAAATGGTGTAAATCATTAGGTGACCGATGCGTTTCTTCGTTCCTTAGTTTGATATTCTTGTATTGCACGTTACATCGCGGCCATGTTGGTGCCATTTAACAAAAGATTTCTCAATAGCATCCATTGTTAACGGCACCAAGATGGCCGCCGTGTTTTTGTCTTTTGTCTCCCTTGGGAAAGCTTGCAACCCATCAAAAAGTAACTCCTGCAGCTTATAAAGTCCCTATTATAAATCAAACTAACCTTTCCAAAACTGCTAGTTCTTTCTTGTCTCATCTTCATCTCAGCCAGCAGCCCACCTCCAGCCATACCCCCAATACCAATACCAAACTTCGGTGGACCAAACTTTGGCTTTTCCTGGACTTGTTCTTCCTTCTCCGCTTCCTTCTCCGCTTCTTTATCAGCAGCCTTGTTGTCACCTTCAGTCGTGGGATTAGTCCTTTCTCGTGCAATTGGACGGGAACCTGGTGCTGTGGCCAAGCGGTCACGAGGTTTGACGGGCGGTTTGGGTGGGATGACGGAGGTTGGTCGGTCTTTGGGAGGCGCAGGTTTTGGGGGTGGTGGTTTCTTGGCTTCTTTTGCCTTCGCAGTAGTTGGGGACGTCTTTTTTGCTGTTGCTTTTTTTTTTWAAAAAAAAGAAAAGAATGTCTCGTAAGTGATGTGACTTTAGGCATTTTCTGAATTCAATAAACAGGATGCATCATTGTATAGCTTCAACACAGACAACACCATATAAGGCATGATAAACAAGATGTACCCAAGCTGGGCCACAATGCTCCAAGTTCGCTGTCTCAGAAAGAGTCATTGCTACTAATAGTGCACTGTGACCGAAAGGAAACATACAAAAGAAGGAAAGCGTTACAACACTGGACAAAATTGTGTTACAATCACGTGTCATGCAAACACAAGCAATGTTTTCCCATTTTAAAACACGTTCCCTTGAGTATTATTCCTTTATTGACCGTAAATGTAATCTAATGGAAAAACTCTTGTTTCCTCAGGCCTCAAATTACGACCAAGCTGCCAGTCTACCGAAGACACAGGAAATGTGTCCGATGTTGGAATATTTCCTTATGAAAATAACCATATATGAAAAAATGCAATGAAATAAACTAGAAAGAGAATGAACGAAGAAAGACACAAGTCAATAATGGAAGGATATTCTTAATAAGTAGAATAAATGAGAGTGAATGAGAAGGAACACATTAATGGAGGATTATAACGAACGAGGAAAGACAAAACTCAACAATGGAAGGTTATTCTTAATAAGTAAAATAAATGAGTGAATGAGAAAGAACACATTAATGGAGGATTATAACAAGTGCAGGCTCATTGAGGTGCGCAGTGAGGCATGGGATTGGATTGCCTAATAAATCACGCAATGGACCATGGGAAGGAAGAAAAGAGGAAAAGGAGAGCTTAGAAAAACTAAAAAAAAGTTATAATTTAGTTTTCTTAAGAAATTTAAAGAGGATTTAAATCGAAGCTAATGTTTAGTAAAACACGTGTTTACCTGAGTAAGGCACAGAGGGGCTTATTTCGGGTTTAGCGTCTAGAAATTAAAGTTAAATCATGTGTTGAGATGAGTTTACACATTTAATACGGTTCATGGATTACTACTACAATTCCCAGTAGACCGAGGCAGTTGTGATTTTTTATCGCATTTGTAGCGTCTCTTATGTTAACCGCAGATGCATTTCAAATCGACCACGTGATGCCAATGTTGTACCACGTGGAAAGTGTTTTTTCACCAAGCGATAAAAACTCGATTGCAGTTCGATCGCGTGGTGTAAACATAACAGTCCCTACGAACTGCCTCGGCGTACTGGGAAGAGTAGTAAGATCAATCGCACCTACCAACGGTAAGCAAATATACAGCTGTTTCAAAAAAGATCCGATGCGCGTAGCATAATGGGGCTGTTTAGGGGACGAAACAACGACAATTATTACTCTTACTTTAAAGTCCCTATTTTCGTCCACTCCTTCTGGGATTACACACTGAAGAGATTACCTTCAAATCTTACACTTTCTTTCCCCAGGGGGAACCAAAAACGTTATTTTAGCAGTAGGGTCACCCTACCTTCATATCAACGCGATAGACTTAGAGTAGGTGTCTGCGCCAAAGCTCTTAATTACAAATTTTATATCTGTTATATCGTTTAAGGATCAGCATTTAGTGTTTACCATCGGCATTTATTGCTTACTCAATATTGAATTAAACTTACTTATTAGATTTAACAGCACTTAACCGCTTATTCTTTTTCCAAGGTTGAGGGGAAAACTGGGTCGAGTTGGTATCGCAGTGCATTGTGGGACTGTTTCCAAGATGGCGTCTATTTCGTCCCCTGACTAGTCCCACAATGTACATCGGTGCCAATAAGCCTAAAGCGAAATGCCGTTTTATCCCCGTCTCTATACCATAATAGTTTTTAAAATTCTTTCATATTAAAATTTTTGATTCCTTAGGGAATACAGGAACAACAGTCATAATTAAAGAACAAAAGCAGTGTGAAAAGGATTATGGTCTAGAGACAGGGGCAAAACGTCATCTCGCTTCAGGCTTATTCTACCCAGTTTTTTCTTCGACATCGGAATGGCTAATTTAAGAACAATTATTATTAACCATTGTTTAATGGCGACTTTAGCAAAAACAGTCTAACTGTAAATTAAGTATAGCTTTTAACTTTGTTTTTAATGCTTATTGTTATAAACATTTATTATATTATTTAATGCTTAACTGATATTTAGCTTTAAATTATTCACATCTAAATCACCTATTACTCTAATCCATAAACCACAAGGCGTTTTTCATTTCACGTAGAAACCATTAATATTTAAAGCATAGGATTAACGGCGCGATTACAAGGAGCAATTTTCACGAAGCATTGCAGCGTGTAACCTACAGCGCAATTTTTTTTAAAGGTTGCGAGACAAGTTGCAGTAATTGCTGCCAAAGTAGAACTCGTTTCTATTTTTGTCAACGATTACGTCTCCGTTGCGCCGTGTAAACACTCTTGCACTTTGTTTCGCAACGATGTAGCGAGACATGTTGCAGAGAACATTGCTACGTGTAATCGCGTCTTTAAGGTTATAAGTAGTTTAGATGTGATGAAAAAAGCTCTCCCCTCTCCTCCTCCYCCCTCACCTGTGGTACTGGATGTTGTAAACCATTGGCTTCTCATACCATCGTTACTTCCTTCTGTTCCTGAACTGGTTCGTTTCTTCTTGAAGAACCCTGGCAGACTTATGCCACTAAGGGGAAAAAGAATATCAAGAGAAAGAGGAAATTAATGAAAAATGTAGCCAAGATTCATGGTAATATACCAACTTTGTCTGGATGCAATGTCCCACTTCAGACCAAGTGTTCTTTCCAAGAGTATCATTTCTTTGTTTAATGGTAGCGCACGAGAAGACATGAATATGGGCACRACTCAAACAAAGAATCTTATTCTCAAGAGAATGAAACGTGGTCTGAAATGGGGAAACACTGTGACAATATGAATTTTATTTTGACTTGTTTACCCCGACATAGTTAATAAACATTGTACAAAAAAAACAAGTTGCTGGTCCCCGTGAACTCCAAAAGCAATTACTATGACAGGTTTATTTAGGACTCAGGCTTTCCTTATGTTTGTCCTCTTTGTCACACCTGTGTTCTTTTCTTAATTCACTTGGTACAAGTTGATCATCTTTCTAACACTGTTTACTCATGCTAGAGTGCATACCATATATTCAATACACCATATAATATCTTTGTAAGAAATTGCACAAATTTGCGCAAATTAGTAAGTTCAGTGCGACGAACAACGATAGGCAATGAGCGATAGGCGATAAACGATAGATGCCAGAATAGCTGGAATGACTTGTGTTTCTTATTCTTATTCTTGTCAATGACACAGATGTTGCTGTCGTGCAATCACCGATCGCCATTTACCGTTCGCCTCTTCAACGTTTTTTGAAATAGCTGTATATTGCTAGTTCTACTAGTTATCACCACTTGTATATTGGAAAAATGAACGTACGAACAAGTACTTACCCTTTGGGAATCCATCCAGCCTTTTTGGATTCCTAGARAAATATAAAGTTACTTACAGTAAAATTGGATCGTAATAAAAAATCTTGCTGAAAAAATGAATACCATGTGCAAACAGGAGACGTTATCCATTAGTGCTTAGAGTACGACAACTAAAAGTGTATAACCTAAATAGAACTAAATACTGCTTGATTATGCTAATTCTGTTGTTTAATTAGTGCTGTTTAGTGCTATTTAGTGCTAAATAGTGCAGATGCACGCTTATAGCCTTTATACTCTAGTATGGTGCATTTAGTGCGATAAAATGACAGGGCCGAAAAAAAAGTAGTTGTGGATAGAATTGCAGGCTCACCTAACTTGAACATTTTGTAAAAATGAAATTGCAACAAAAGAGTAAAAGTTAAGTTCAATTGTTGAAATATTGTTTTCTAGTCCATGATGTCATGGGTTTGCGTGACTATCGTAGATTAATTTGTTACAAAATCTAAGTGCATTATATTTCAGACATTCAGGGATATCATTATTATTATTATTATTATTCAAGGTTGCAGGATTTTCTCTGATTAGTTTTAACGTAGTGTGACATTAATTTCTATTGTTAGGATTACGTGACAACGAGCGTGACATTATCATTTAGTGACGATTTTCTATTAACAGATGTGTGACATAGTTATCAGTATGTAGTTTTTTTATGACTTTTCTTATACCTTATCGTCCTTTTCTGATGTCGTCTGTTCGTTTTCCTGCAGTAGGAACATGCGTTTGTSAGATGAATGTGTTACAATTAATCATGCATGTTTCTGTACAGCATACTCCAAGTTCTGTTGTGTTCTTGTAACACCTGTTGTCCTGTCCATGAAACCTCAATAATGAGAAGCCTGCGCTTGCGTGACACTCCGTTACAACTATTTATTCAACAGTGAGTCACACGAGATTATGTGACACTACACTGCAACTAATATACAGTACGCTTCAAATGTTTCTACATTTGCTGCACGCCTATAGCACATGTTACCTCGTATTGTATATTCTGTCACACAACATTGATTGCGTGACAAGACGATACACAATTTAGGCATTTATATAAAGTATTACTACGGTTGCTGCGGTTGCTACGGTTTCCCGTAATAAATGCTRTCCTGTGCGTTGTGGACTCTAAGGTCCGTCCACACTAATACAAATTACAAATGCGTTTTCGTTTGAAAACCCATGCTTTTCTATGCGACTACACAGCAAAACGACCCAAAAAACGCTGAGCTTTTTCGTCCAAAASCCATACATTTGAAAACGTTCTCCAGAGTGAAGACATTTGAAAACGGAGGCCTATCGTGTAAGCCACCGAGGTTGAGGGAATAACTGTGTCGAGTTTGCAATGCAGTTGCTATGCAGACCTCATTGCATTGCAGTGGCAACAGTAAAAAATGAAAATAATTGTACTGTTGCTGCCATCTAACACTGCTGCCGATGGTGCAAAACCCCTGTTTTTCTTTTAATACAAGATAAAGATATATAGTAAGATATTTTATCAAGATATTATAGATTATGCTAGCCCAAAGAACCTGTCTTTGCATGATTCTCTTTTTGGAAGAAGATATAAAAGAAAATATAAATACAATAACTTGGTAAAGAAATGCTTGTTACCTCTGTGTTCTTGACTACAGGCTTGGGTTTAGGAGCTGGTTTAGGTGCAGGTCTGGGTGGTGTCTTAGCTGGAGGTTTGGCTTCCTTCTTTGGCTTGGCTTTTGGCCTTTGGATAAACAAACATTAAATGACAAAATCGTTTGAGAGGGGTGAGGGTAGGRAGTTAAGCATGAAGCTTGACATGCAAATAGACCCGTTCACGACCCTTCACAAAAACGTGCTGAAAGGCACGCATGCACAAACATTTTTCTCTAGTGTCCTCTACAGCTTGCGATGCAACAAGTCGAACAACAAGTGGCACAATTTTGCTGCACTTGCTAATGTACCTAAATTAAAGCGTGGCTGTCATTAGTAACATGGGCAGAAGAAATGAAAAGCAGAAGCAGAATCGTGTACTGTTGTTATGTCTAGTGGTGGTGTGTACAATATAATTATACTAAGAGCAACCAATCACAAWCACTCTACACCAGTCTACTTGGAGAGTTTATTAACGAAGATGGCTAGCAGACATGAGTATGTATCTTGTTCTGGTAACCAAGTGCAAAAACATTACCACGATGCTCTCTGAGAAGGTACAAGTTCTATTACTCATGCTTGGACTCATGCATCTCGTTAGTAATGAAAAACTAATGTCATCTCACGTCTTTCTGAAGCTGTTAATACTTGTGTGACATGACAATGTCACGCAAATGAAGAGTTTCTACTTGTGTGATATAATATGTCACGCAACTGAAGAATTACTACTTGTGTGACATGACAATATATCACGCAACTGAAGAATTACTACTTGTGTGACATGCCAATATGTCACGCAACTGAAGAATTACTACTTGTGTGACATGACAATGTCACAAAACTGAAGAATTACTATTTGTGTGACATGACAATATATCACGCAACTGAAAAATACAAGTGACGATAGATAGTACTTACTCATTTTCAGGAGGAGGCGTTTCCCAGAAATGATCAATACTGTTATCCTCGTCCTCATTTTTCTCCTTAGTTATTCCATTGGTCACCTGTGGTCGGTTAGACGGTCGAGTAGGAAGTCGCCGTCCCTGAGCAGGGCGTGGTCGGTCTTTCCCAAGGTGGTTGAGCCCACCATCTTTCTTCTCYACTGCATTTAGGTCTACAGGAAGAATACAAGACTATGAGTACACAGCGTTCTTACTAGCTGAGTCAACAAATGTACAAGAGAATGAGATGAAAATAAAAGTTAAATATATATCACAGTGTTATATTATCTAGAGAAAATATTTATACTCCAGTTTCGAGCTCTCTGTTGGTCAGGGTTCGCCTCGATTTTGCGTAGAATATTCACGTCTTCCAGTAAAGGCGTGTAGAATTTTAAAAGTGTATATTTTGTTGAAGTTGTGCATTCTTTACTTTACCGTTGGTATTTGTGAATATTGTYTGTAATCAAGCAACACMGMGGTAATTTGRAACTCGAAAAAGGTCTATTCCGAATGACTGTGAAAAGTTTACGGACGTGACGTGACGGTCACGCTGCCATGGTGACGTCATGCACAGCGACCTTTTGGTGTACCAAAATAATAAACTTTCTATCCTCGGGGAATTGAACTCTATTTTTAYGCAGAAACTGTTCAGAAAGTTTCTATTGTTTGATGCATTATACGGCTGCCTTGTCACGTGAGTGAAAAGGCCCTATATGCTATGCAATGGTCTTGTTTAACGGTGGAAGGAAATGTTAGAACACGACTCAACCGCACAGTACGTCCGTACCTCAATGTATTGTAGCCGTACGTAAMGCAATTGATTAAGCAATTACGTAACGCAATCAAGTTACGCTGCTTCAGTACTACCCGCTAGCTTAGCGATTCGAATGAATCCAATGGTTTTCTTTGCTTTTTTCCTAAGAAAAATATAAAACCCACGAAAACATTTCGTATCGCAAATAATGAACTAATAATAGAATGTAGAGCCGGAAAACACCAAGACTTGAAGCTTCTGGTAATAGTACGAAGCAATGGAAGAACTGGACGTCAGCCAAAGCACGACAGGAAACTCTAACTAATGTCTTACATCGTKCATTGGTCTCAAAGAAAACGAAATAAATAAAGAATATTAAATGATCGAGCGGAGACACGAATTTTCATTTTGAGTAGAAATATCTGGAAACTACTTTCAAAGTTATCCTGAGTGAGATGCTTAAAAAAATGAAATTTTTTTCTTGGCTTGTGGGAGGTATTTCTTATGTAATTTCTTGTTAGTCTCATTTTCAAAGCTACTTTGAAGAGGGAAATTATAATATTGATAATGGGATGGTTTAAAGATGGTGACAATTTCACTTGTGAAGACTACATGTACGCGTGATGTGACGGAGAGACAGACAGACAGACAGACATATGGACGGACAGACAGACAGAGGCAATGAAATGCATAGTCAAATAAAGAGACTCAGGGGAAAAAGACACAGACAGACAGACAGACAGATGTTTCATTGACRATTGTATATTAAAACAAATTCTATTACGTCTTGTAGTCTTATATCGTTCAACTAGAATAAGTATCATCGGTTTCGAAACCTCTGATTCTGCATACGACCCAGGTAATACAGAATGAGACCACATAAAAAGTTTAAACAGAAATTTTGGAGGAATTAATTATCTACTCACCGAACTCTACCGAAATTTTCGGCGGCGTTGGAGCCTTGCCTTTCTTCGTCACCATTGGCGAACCTTTCTCTTTCTTGGCAATAACAACGCTCACTTCTTCAAACTTTTTCACGTCAGCATCTTTATGAACTTCTTCTTTTTCCTCAAGGTTTTCCTCCGAGATACTGTTCTTTGGTTTCTGACGACTAACCGTAGGTCTTCTCTTGCGACTCCTTGGAACTTCCTCGGTATTGTCGCCAGCAACRAGTAAAGCCGAACTAAGCCGATTCTTTGCTTTTCTTGCAGCCTGTAAAGAGTTTGAAAAAAACGCCAGCATTATTTGAAGACACATTCGTGTTCCTCTATGTTTTTGATTCGAGTTTAGAGAAATGATATCGGCCTAAGCCAGCACTCAAGTATATGAGAAAATCAGTATTGAACTTTCGTTTTTACCTTTGTTAGTTTGTAAATTTAGAACTGAGTCAAGACTTTCGAAAGTGAAAGATTCAAACAATGATTCAACAGTGAAAAATGTTTCTCCAAAAAAAACTGGAGTCAAAAATCAARCGTGCTGGGCAAAAATTGCATTTTTGTGGAGGGTCAAAGAAGTGTGAAGTAGGAGATTCCCAGAGCCCTGAACCTTCTTTACCACTTTTGGGCTCAGGAAAGTTGAATCAGGCTGAGCTGAAGCCTATGTCACGTCATATCACGTTTCCTAATGTCACGCAACTGAAGTGGGGAAGCACGTCAAGTTAATTTAAACCGACTGTGTTGTTCTTTTGGATAAGAAAAAAAAAACGTTTCTTTCTCTCCCTCACGTAGATCTTTCAAACAAACAAGTTGCACGAAGGGTTTGATCCAAATGATTTGGAATCAAGGCGAGTAAAGCACTGTCTGTCACAATTGCGAAAATTTCCAAGTATTTTATTATGTCTTGTCAAAACGAAATGTTTTCTACCAACGAAAACGAAATATGCTATTCATTAATATTTGGTGAATCTTTCCACCAATGAGTTTTWTATATATTATATTTTCGAGTAAAAGCTGTCATTTTACGGAGCCGAAAATGTTCGCTGAGTTCAGGTTGAGAGAAGCGAAATCATCTGGATTTGTGTTGCCCTAGAGTTGTGACCCAGAGAAACCTCACGCTCCTGTGTTCAAGGAACGAGACGTAAGACTGAGAACCAATAATGAGAGTGAACCTCTGAGAAATGTATAAGAGAACCTCTAAAAAATRTATAAGAATCACACACCACGGTTGTGCGAAGGGTGGATAGCGCTATAAGACGGGTAAATCTTATTCAGTGGATAAATTTATTGGATAACTGAAACAGCATGGACTCATTCACTGGATAAGGCCGATTTATCCGTCGGATAGCGCTATCCACCCTTCGTACAAACGGGCCCAGTTTCGAATTGTACAGGGTTAGCTTCGATTTCGTATTGAATTATTTTGGATATTAATGTGTTCCAGTGAAGGTCCGTGGATTTCAAAACGTTTGTGTAGACCCCTCGCATTGATTACCTAGAGGAATTGTTCTGGGAGACAAAAGAAAGGCCGTCTTTTCTTACGCAAAAAAATAGATTGTTTGCCCCCCAGAACAATTCCTTTCTGGACTCAGTGCAAGGGGTTTAAGTTGTGCATTCTTTACTTTACAGTTGTTATTTGACTATTCTGACGCTGAATGGAAGCTAACCCCCCATAAATGAGTCTGTGATCGAGGAACACAGCAGTATTTGACTACTTCGAAAACGGTCTTTTTTTTCACTAYATATTAGAGGTTTTCGTGTGAAGTTTGGCCAGGAAATACGTCATAAAGTAAAAGCTCTATAGGGTTCGCAACATCCGTTGCACCAATCACAGCGCGCGAGATTACTGCTCGTCCAATCAAAATGCTTTGAATGSATCGACGTGGCACCATGACCTGCACGGCACGGTACGTCTGTAGCGTGAAGAGAGTAAGTAATAATACTTACGACAGCTGCATCATCAGTTTCTTTTTCCGGTCCCTGGTCACATTCATCGTTCAGGGCCTGTTTCTGGCGATAGCCCTTCAGGAGAAGTTCCTGCATACAGAATAAATAWTGTAAATAAGCATTACACGAAAATATATCCTAGCTGAAGAAAATACCCCATGGTCGTTTTTGAACGTCATAGACTATTCTAGTCATGTGGGGGGTGGCAAGTGGTGTGGGCTGCTGGAATGTCGCTTTCCGCGAGCTCCGTTGCTTGTTGGTTCTCTATAGACCTCTTTACCTTGGGCATGTTTTACCATATCAGACCACGTGTTATTCCCTAGAGTATCATTTCTTTGTTTAATGGTTGCACATGAGAAGATGCATGAATATGATACAAGTTAAACAAAGAATCCTATTCTCAAGGGAATAATACGTGGTCTGAAATGGGAAAACATTACGCCTGAGCAAAAAAGGTCAATTTTGAAGGTTTTTTGGGGGTTCTTTGGATTTTCTTCCTTCGCAAAAATATATTTCGGAATTCTAATTCGAACTGGATTAATCAGCAGCCTTTACCTAAGGAGAGCAATCAACTTAGTGCAACCGTTTTGGCAAAAGTAAAATATGGTCTAGATTCATTATGGGTTTTGTCTTCAAAGAAAGAAGAAAAAAAGAAAGAAAAGAAAGGAAAGAAAGAAAGAAAAAATAGGAAATTAGAAAAGACATATTCCATGGATGCTATAATAATATCAAAAACTATCCAAACTGGCGAGACAGACACTTTTTGTTTAGTATTTCGGGCACACAAAAAATAAATAATAAACTTTACCAAACGATATCAATTGCAAAATAAAGCGTAGAAGCATTTTAACAAATATGATTGTATTACACTGTCACAGGCATCCCAGCCATTTTTAATACAAATTTGATAGGAAATATAGG